GGGAGGGAAGTCAAGGAAAAGGACCTGGAAAACATCTCTTCAAACTTGTACATTTTCTTCACATATTCCAACATAGGCCTTCAGGCTCGGCTTTGAAGCAATTTGATGAATGTTCGTTCGAGCGTATCGCGGTGACTGTTGCTTCGTGATCGCGAGTCTATCGTGCCAGCAGGGTCGCCATGTCGGGTATCGTGGGCCATGCCTCGAGTGTTTCCTACCAAGATTTCGCCGTCACATGCTTGTACTGCTAGGATCTGGGACTAGAAAGATCTTCGAACCGCCGCTCCTGCGTTGCCGTCTCATAAGGCGCCCGTCAGTACCGGCCATGATTGTTCATGTCTGTCATTGTAGCTTCCTAGCGGGCGGGTTTCACGTTGAGATAGGAAGCGTCGTTCGTACGTGGATGGAAATTTGGTTGGTTGCGACGTCTTGGGTCGTTATACAGTCCTTTGGTTATACACTGTGATGTACAGTTCTCTCCTTCTCTTCTTCTTCTTCTTCTCCTTCTTCTTCAGCCCCTCTCCATTTCGTCTATTCCATGCCGTTGTTCAGAGGAACTTTCCTGATGGGTTAGCGCCCCGCCACATTCCCTTGATTTCTGTAGCACTTTCGTTAGCACAGTTCCCCTGAAATGTAGTCTTTCTGTCCCTGGCAACTCACGCTCCATGCAATGCGGGCAAACGACGTGTTTCCTCTTTGGTTGACCACACCCGGGACACTTGCAGATCGACGTGACATCCTGCAGAGCCTTGCCAGCCATCAAGCGCGATCGCTTCTTGGAGTGTGTCGTCTTCTTCTTGGGCACGGCCCGCAGGATGCCTTCCCATATGCCCTCGAGCCAGCCGGGGATGTTGAGCGAGATAGCGGGTAGGGCGGCGGATAGCCTTGGGAGGACAGGTTGTGTGACTTGCTGGGCAAACCGGGTCCATGTCCTCGAGGAGTTGAGCATGGCAGCGGCGGAGAATCGGGGGAGAAGAGAGGTTGTTGTCGAAGCTGCGATGGAGGCCATGGTGTCGGGATCGAGGTAGGCGCCGCCTCACCCACTGTGGTTTTTTTTTTTGGGCTGTCGGTCCGGTGTTCGGGAGGAGTTGGCGAACGTATGGCTTGCAACGAAGCTCGTCCAGAGCGAGGCGGGGTATTTCCTTTTCAGTGTTCGGCGCGAGACAGCAGGTCGTTCGGTGATCAAGGATCGCGTGAGGTGCGTCGACGTTGGTGACTTCGCTTCAGATCTTGCCTCAGAAAATCTAGCCGGGGCAATGTGGTCCAAGCTTCCGTGTCAATTGAGACCCAACGACGACAACCAATAAGACACGGTTCAGAGCACAGACAGCTCCCAGCCAATAGCAGCTGTCATCTGCCCCTTCCCCCTTTCCAGGACCCCTGGCTCTTGCTCTGGACGGAAATTGTGTTTGCTGGGGGAAGGGGCATCCGCGAAGAAATTCCACGTCCCTCCCCTTTGGCCTACGGCGGCTTCACTTGGAACCACCTCGCATCATCCCATCTCCCCCCCCCTGCCCGGCCCCCCCAAATCCTCAAAGTCCCGACTTCGACATTTCTCGTCCATATCCAGCGTGCGACTCGACGACCCAACTCCCTGCCAAACTTCCATTATTGTCGCTTTCTTGGAATAAGGCATCTCAAGCTACACTCTACTTCCACTTCCCCAACGTCCTCCTCACCCCCACAATCTACCTGTCCACCGACACTCGCTTCACGCGAACAAAAAAGCTATCACAATGGCACAGACGCAGCAGCCTTCAACCATCTTCCCCCAGTCCCACGTCGGTTTCGACAGCATCACATCCCAGATCGAGAAGAAGCTGTTGAAGCGTGGTTTCCAGTTCAATGTCATCTGTGTCGGTAGGTCGACCCCATAAACCATCAGCTCTGTGGTCCTAGCTTCCCTGCCTCTGGGATGCAGGCGTGGACCCTGAATCCCTTCACATTGACCGTGACTGACGAGAACTGCACACAGGCCAGACGGGACTGGGCAAGTCGACCCTGATCAACACCATCTTCGCCTCTCACCTGATCGACTCCAAGGGCCGCCTGCAACCCGACGAGCCCATCCGCTCGACCACCGAGATTAAGGGTGCTTCCCACATCATCGAGGAGAACGGCGTCCGCCTCCGCCTCAACATTGTCGACACCCCTGGCTACGGTGATCTCGTCAACAACGACCGCTGCTGGGACCCTATCGTCAAGTACATCAAGGATCAGCACTCCGCGTACCTGCGAAAGGAGCTCACCGCCCAGCGCGAGCGCTACATTCAGGACACCCGCATCCACTGCTGCTTGTTCTTCATCCAGCCTTCCGGCCACTCCCTGAAGCCCATTGACATTGTCGTCCTCAAGAAGCTGTCTGATGTCGTCAACGTTGTTCCCGTTATTGCCAAGGCCGACTCCCTGACCTTCGAGGAGCGCCAGGAGTTCAAGGCCCGTATCAAGGAGGAGTTCGCTTTCCACAACCTCAAGATGTACCCTTACGATAACGAGGAATTTGATGACGAGGAGCGCACTGTCAACACCGGCATCAAGGTCAGTCTTGCGATCTCTACCATTGCTCTCCGTGCCGTGCTAACGTGTCCCCACAGGACATGATTCCCTTCGCCGTCGTGGGCTCTGAGAAGTCCATCATCGTCAATGGCCAGCAGGTCCGCGGTCGCCAGAACAGGTGGGGCGTCATCAACGTCGAGGACGAGAACCACTGCGAGTTCGTCTACCTGCGAAACTTCCTTCTCCGCACCCATCTCCAGGACCTCATCGAGACGACGTCTCAGATCCACTATGAGACTTTCCGTGCCAAGCAACTGCTCGCCCTCAAGGAGAGCAGCGCGCACGGCGGTAGCAGCCGTCCCATCAGCCCTGCCGCCGACCGGGAACTTAGCAGGGGCTCGCAACGGATGACCATGAACGGATACTAGGTGGGCTAGCTTGGGCATGACGTGAATACCTGCGGCCTTCAGCTTGCGATTTCGCAGCGGCCAGAGGATGGACGCCTTGCCAGATTTGCTTCCATGTTTGGTGTTTGATCATAGCCATGAGGCGTCACAGGCGAGCCTTTCGGTCCGGAAACTGGCTGGAATACGCAGGATGTTCAGATGTTGCATCTCTCCTGGAAGCATGGTACAGTCAGGGGCGATCTGAGAAGCTGTCTTGATAGTCGTCTCCAGCGATACGCACGAGGTCCATTCGGGGAGTAGCGAGAACGAAAAGATCGACGGCGTGGCGCGAGGACTCAGGTTAATACCCCCTTTCTCCCTCCCGCCGACCAGATGGGGTAGCTGTTCTTTTTTTTATTACAAGTATTTGTGTGCGTGTTGGTCAACCTGGTAGTTTATTCCCCCCCTCTTATTTCTTCTTCCACTCCCACTGGACGCACGTCGGCTCTGTTTCTTCACTTTCGACTATTTTCGCTCCCTCAACTCGTCCATCTTCTCTTTACGCTTTAATCAGACATGTGCTCTGTTAGAGAGGCTGTCCCGGTACTGTGGAATACATATGCCTTATGACACTGACTTGTCGCTCCATCTCCTCGTGCCTGTGAACCATTCGGGGTGTCTGCGGATTCCATGCTATCGTCAACGTGATAGGAGGTTCCTGAGCTTATGATTTGCCTGACCACGTGCCACACACGCCCGTTCGTTCGATGCCAGCCAGATGACGCAGTGGCGAAGCCATGAAAAGAAGTCGCAGGCCATGATGGCCTTGGCAGCATACTTCGTAAAAGGAATCTCGTCGGTGGGATATACCGTCGAGACCATGATTTGGCCTACCGAGATAGGGCCAACCACGTCATACAGACACGCACACCTGAACAACACCGCAGCGAGTCATCACTATCCCCGACGCTGTCTGCTTGCACACATAATTGGGATGAAGCAAATGTATGGATTTGAATTAAATAAAGAAACTCGACAGGCTGAAGTAAGCCTGGAAGATGACAACGACAACAACTGCTATGGCATGTTTATCCATTAACCCTTCGGAATCATCATTTACAAAGAATAAGTTATGGTCTATCCATTCCAATCATCACCCCGCTCAACAAGAACGACAATTACAGCAAAAGGAGAGCAATAGGCGCCGCAATTGCAAAGGCAACGGCGGGACGGACAGAAATGCCGGCGCTCTCGTCGGCGTTGGCAGTGCCGCCATTGGAAGTGGATGCGGGCGAGGACGCAGAAGAGGACGTGGGACCCGCACTCACACTTGCGGTCGAAGCCTCGTTGTTGCCGGGCTTGTTTGACTCATCGTCAGCAAGGGGCTTGACGGAGAGGGTGAGAAGGTTCCAGTTGGCATCCCAGATCTTGAAGTCCGAGTCAACCTCCCAGTTGGAGATCTTGACGAGTTTGCCAGAGGGCTTCTTCTCGATACCGTTGTCAATGAGTTCCTGAGCGCCAGGAGGAACAACAGGCAGCGTGAAGTTGGCGTTGAATTCCTTCGTCTTGATGAGGGAGGCGTCGCACTTGGGAGGTTTGGGGGAGTTCTTGGAAGGCTTAGTGCCCTCCAAAGTCTTAAAGTCGAGCTTCGCATACTGCTCGGCCAGCAGGTGGTAATCCTCGAGAAGGTGAACTGAGTTGTTCTTGTAAACCTGAGCAAGGCCAAACTTGTGAGTCTCCTGGCTGAATTCGTAAACGAGACCACCAGAGAAGACGCCAGTCATCTGGTCACCGTAGATGGTGCCAACCTCAGTGAAGGGACGGGGAGTGACTTTATTGCAGCCGTACTCGGAGAGGAAGACGGGGACAGAAGTATCCTTGAGACCATCGACAAGATCGTCATAGGACGACTTCTCAAAGTCAGACTCGCCACACCAGGAGTAGGAGTTGAGGCCAAAAAGATCGGCGCGGCTCATATCGTCCTTGTCCTCGTCATGCGTGCACTGCATGTAGTTCCAGGTATCCCATAGGTACTCGCGGACATCGGCAGCAGAGTATCCGACGGGAATCTTGCGGTCGGCGTGATTGGCAATGTAGTTCTTCAGGTCGCGCGTAACGGCACGCAGGTAGGGAGGGACATCGACGACTGTAGCTTCGTTGTTGATTACCTCGTTGGCCGAGAAGAAGAGAAGGGTGTTCGGGTAGCTCTTGAAAGCCTCGACCATAGCAAAAGTACGGTTGAGGTACTCCATGTAGTAGCTGGTCCACGGCTGCCAAGCGGTAATGGCCTCGCCAGGGAGGGGCGAGTTGACATCGATGAGCATGTACATGCCCGCGGCGTTGAAGATGGAGGCGCACTCGTCGTGGTTCAGGTTGGGATCGAGGTTGTACACGCGGATAGCGTTTACGCCAAGAGCCTGCATGATGGCAGCATCGCGGAGGCAGACGTCCGCCTCGGACAAAGGGTCATGGCCGTGTGCAGGGTCGTAACCAGCGGCACCATTGATTTGGTAGTCGACACCTACGATCTGGAACTTGTTGCCGGTCTTGGGGTTCACGAAGGCATTGCCTTGGACCTCAAGGGGAGTCAGGGCCGCGGTCAGAGTGGCGCCCAAGGCGACAAGAGTGGAGGAGAGCTGGTGTGGGTTTGAATTAGCATTGCTGAAATCAAATGTCCAAATCGGCTTGCTGAAATTCCATGGCCAGAAGAAGAAGCATCGGACTGGGCTAGGTACTGCTTTTTCTCGACGTAGGGAGGGCGCCAGATGCACTCCACATGACGGTGCTTCGACGAGCCAACTGCCCAACCAGGGGCCTAAGCGTCATGTCCCAGCTGTCTGGACAAAGTGCCAGCGAAGGAAAGCCTCCGGAAAGGTGCACCGAGCCAATGACAAGCAAAAGCGCCGGGTTTAGCAACAACTTACAAGCATGGCGAAAGAATTGCGTCGTTCCGCAAAAGCCAAGTTACTGTCCAAGATTCGGTCGTCTGGGTAGAGTAGCTAGCTAATGTTTTGTTGTGTGCGTGGAGTGACAGTTGCGCAATTTAGAGGGTCCAAAAAGCCAAGGAAGAGTAAAAAGTGCAGAGAGTCGACGGAACCGAAAAAGTGGTCGGAGACAGGAATTAAAGCAGACTGAATGAGTGTCGAGAAGTGAGTTTGAGCAAAGGACGATGCAACGCAATGCTATGCAAACACGTTGGCCAGGCGTCTCCAACGTCGGGCAAGAGCGAAGCTGAAGAACGGAGAGGAGAAAGAGGGAAGGGGGGACAGACGTCCGGGGAAGGCGCATTCATGACGGATGTCGGGAAGGAGGT